CCCCCCCACGACGGATGGTTTGCTGTTACCCATCCTTTGTGACAACAACAACATGAACGTATCGCAAGTCTCAACACGAGACAAAGAAAACTCCAGGCGTAACGGGACCTCTCAGTCAACCCTGCCGCCGTCTGCTGCTCTCTGAGGATTTTCTATACAAACCGTACAAAATATTATGTCCAGGGACAATTTCTCCACTTACCAACGGCTCGCGAGTCATTTCTGGTGGTTCTGAAGAAAGTCTGTCGTAGTGTTACGGAGTGACCCTGGAAGAAGTAGAGGTCGTGTGCGGTCTGACCGCTTCCATAGGGACCGCGTGGGAAAAGCGGGAAGTCGGCAGCACGACGACTAGGTAGCGGAGGAGTCTCAGTGGAACTAGGAGGCGGAGAACTGACGGGTAGTCAGACGAGGAAACGAAAAGTCTTTACACATGAAGTCACAGCCGGGAAGTTGCAGGGACCCAAAGAGGTGTTGTTTGAAAGACACTTAACGGAGGGAAGATCGCAGGTGAGTCTCAGACAGAGAAACAGCAAACAGTGTCAGCAGTACAGAAAGAGGGACGTTCGGACGGACGTCCCGCAGGTCGAGCGAGCGAGCAGAGTCACAAGGGCGTCGTCCCTGTGGAGCGAGTCCAACGACGTCTGCTCGAGAACCACGACCTGGAGTCTGGAGAGTGTCGAGACACAGAGAGAGGACGACTGGACGACTCCGGACTAGGTCGACGACGAGTGCCGAGACACAGAGAGGACGTGGAGTGACTCGGACTAGGTCGACGACGAGGTGCCGACTACACAGGAGTTCTTGACGACGGACGGACTCCCCGGACTAGGTCGCGCGAGGTGCTCGAGACAGAAGAGGACGACGGAACGACTCCCGGACTCAGGTCGACGAGGCCGAGGTGCCGAAGACACAGAGAGGACGTGGAGTGACTCCGGACTAGGCTGAGAGTGGGCGTCGGCCAGCCGGTGTCTGTGCGGGTGGGACGTCCGCTAGCTGATGGACCTTGCTACGGTGAGGGGTATGAGGGACAGCAGACAGGTACCTCCTGTTTTCCCCGTGCTCTGGTGCTACCTTTTATTTGTCACACTAGACTTCATCTCTTTTTTTTTTTTAATACCCAGTGTGACAAACCGTGCGCGCCCACACGTCACCCTAGACACGCAACCTACAGAACCTTGAGCTCCCCCCAGTGTCAAGTTTCGTGCGGTACAGCAACAGAGGGAACCCCGTTCTGTTGAAGTGTGGGTTTACCGAGGACACCCCTAACTAGGGATGCCTAACTCATTACAGCAGTCACAAGCGAAACCCTTCTCGTAGATGTGTTGCAGCTGTGACAGCAGCCATTATAATTTTCGACCGGACACAAGCACACTGGTGCCGAAAGTTTTACTAGTGAGTAACAGTAGATCACTTGAATGGTGTAGTTTCTTCAAGTGACATAAATACGTCGATTGAGCGATTTCGTCGGTAAGTAGTGTTCGTCTTATGCGAAATATCAGGTGGTCGGTCCTTTCTCGGTGTCTGTTTCGAATCGGCAGACGTATAGAATGTACGCTATTTCTTTCGTGATTCATAATTATAATACATTTATTCTGTTGTGTTGTTATACTGATTTTTCCATTATTCAATTATTATATATTTGTGTTCGATTTTGTTTCTATTTTGTTTTTTCATGGTATTAACAGTTCTTTAGTCTAGTTGTTTGTTAGTTTGATTGTTTAGTAGACATCGTCAGAACCTAAATCGCGTCTGTCCATATATAAATGTCGAACATAATTTCTAACCGTATGAACGATAGTCCATTATTCATTTCGAAGTCACTGGAGAAGACGATTTTAGACAATAATCTGATTTCCGTCTTCTTTTGATTTCATAACCGTAATCGTAAAAGACGTCCAAAAAATAAGTGAAAAGTTGTGTTCTGGAATGTCTGCAACAGCTCAACATTGTCAGACTTTTCGCGTCTTTAATAATCGCAAAAAGTCGGCTTCGCACACTTCCCTCGCGCTGCGGACGTTGGTGGGGGAGGCACGAGCGCCAACGGGGGAGTGAACCGCCAGCTTGAACGGAGGGGGTCGGGAGTAGAGAAAGAGGTCCAATAGGTTCGTGGACTCGTCTTGAGACTTCGCTGTTCACTCGCTGGTTATTTTTAGGGTTGAGAATTCTCTTGCATGAACTTTTTCAGATTTTGACGTAGTCTTATCCCTCGGAGGAATTAAAACACCTCTCATGCCCAAAGTGTATGTGAGGCAAACGGAAACAAACACGGAGTTTCTATCGCGTCCTCCGATCTAGCACACAGGACGCGCTCAGCGTATACCCAGTGTTGACCCTCAGAATCGTCTTTGCGCGACGTAAACCTAGGGGAAACACTGACATATGTTCAATCAGGAGAGACGGTTTTGATGTAAGAATACATATTTATTGCAAAGATACACAAATGAATGTAATGGAGTTTTGGCGATTAGGCCCCGTTGTGCAGGAAGTATCATTCGGGAGGGTAGAACCGATCCGATGAAACCTCCCTGGGGTCTAGACCCTGGTGTTGGTGAATGGATAGTTGGGTTCGGTCTGAAGGGGAGGGGCTTAGCTTGACCCTGGATTCAGAGGGACAGGAGGTGAAAAGGGGTGGACGAGGGTTGAGTCACCTGAAATGACAGCTGTCAGAGGGGAGAGCAGATTTAAAAGGCTTGGCAGAGCGCTATGATAGGCTCTTGGGAATAGAGCGAAGTGATTGGTTAAGCTGGAGAGTGACGCCCCCGATCACTTATTGAGAGGAGAGAGAGTAGTTGCGTAGGAATAGTGAATAGACGGTCTTCCTGGTTGAATTTACGCTGAGCGTCATTAGATGTAGAATATAATGATTATAATAATAATATAATTGAGTGATGGGGATGTAAGAAATGGTTATATAATTGTTAAATCACATCTGTAGAATCAGTCTGTAAACTTTTCCAGAGAGAGGAGCCACCAAAGCCGAGGAGAACAGACCGGATCCTGCAGCGTCAGGACAGCTGGTCCAGCTTTTACACCGGTGAGCTTTAACCTCAGCGCTGAATCACCTTTATGTAGTTATTTACCGTTTAGTAAGTTTACGGTTGTATGACTGTTGATTTGTTTGAATGTTGCAGGCAAACAGGACGAGGACCAAAGCACAGATTATATCAAGTAAGTTACTATAAGGCCCTTTTCTCATTTATTATCTCTGTCAAATTGTAAGTGTATGTAATCTTCTTTGTGTTTATTCGATATGTAAAGTTCAGTTAACGTTTTGTTAAACAAATGTAACAATATTCATGAAAATGTTCTTGTGTTGTCAGACCTCAGGATGGTTTCAGTGCTCTGCTGAGGCGTCATGGCGGCTCGAGGAGAAACTCCCTGCTGCGCTGGTGCCAGAGTCGTACCCAGGGTTATAAGGTGAGAGAGGAGCGCGTCACCATTATTGACACATTTTTGTAAATCCTCACAGTCAGTAAAGTTTAAGAGGAACTCAGGGTGGGAAACACAAATATATTTTTACCAGTTAAATGTTGTCTTCATGAAGTGTGTTTTGTGGCAGAATGTTGAGATCACAAACTTCAGCAGCAGCTGGGAGGACGGCCTGGTGTTCTGCGCCGTTTACCACACATACTTACCAACGCACATCCAGTACGACACCCTCGACCCAGCACACAAGGTAATACTGTCGCTGTTCATTCTTAAAACTAAATAATCACTTGTGTCGATTATGTTTTTTATAATGTTATTCATAAAAACTTTTGACTCGAGCACATGTATCGAAAGCCTTTTCAGAGACGGAGAAGTATAGCAGCTATCGAAAAATACTGATCATCTTTAAGATATTAAAGCTGGATGTACAGGTTATCAATCAAGAGTCAAATTCACTGCATGGACCGTAAAATCTGAAAAAATCTTTTGTACTCACTGTAGCATTTTCCTCCGAATAATGGTCGTAGGCTTTACTTTACTGATGAATTAGAATTTATTTGTAACTCCAGACCCAACGTAAGAGGTTGAGCCTCTTCGGAGGGTGCTAACATTTAAATATACAGTCCATTCTTCTCTTTCTCCGCCGTTACATAGAAGATATTACTTTCTCCGTCACGTTGTTTTCAAAAGCCACAACCACTTCCTGTCAGCCGCGTTAACTCGCCTTCAAAATAAAAGCATACAAATGAAACGGGAAGTTCACTTAAATTACATTATTATATATATCTATATATATATAGATATATCTATATATCTATATATATATCTATATCTATAGATATATATATGAAACTGCAACGAAAGCAACAGAAACAATGCAACATCCCCTTCAGTCTCAAATAACACAAATTGAGTTATCTACACTCACCTTTTTTTTAAATTATCAACAACTATTATAAATGACGCATGTATAAAAGAAAAAACAATATGCTGGTGCTTTTTAGAAGAATCCATGTCTTGGAGGCATGTCTGTAAAAGCTACTTCTAATTCAAATGTTTTTACAGAAGGAGAATCTGGACCTTGCTTTTAAGACAGGAGAGAGTTTGGGAATCACAGCCACACTGGTGAGACACTTTACACCTTCTGAAGCTTTTGGTTTCTACAAAACCTTTGGGGAGTTAGAAGTTGTGCATCTTAAACAAGCTGTTTTCACTGTCCTGTGATCTTATCTTTTCATGTGAATGTGTGACAGAGCGTGGAGGAGATGCTGAAGGCCGACGGGCCGGACTGGCAGAGGGTCCTCGGTTATGTGGAAAGTATTTTCCGGCACTTTGAGATGTGAAGTTAAATGTCTCTCTTCTTGCTCTTCCTCCTGGTCCTTTACCATGATTGTGACTGAAGAACTGAAACACTGTTCATCACAATCTGCTCATAATGAACTCTGATCAGCCAGGATCAGAAAATATGTCAGCAATATTAAGACTTAACGGTGTGATTTTATGTATCAAATATAATGTTCATCACACAGTAACTTAACCTTGGGAGTATTTTTAGTTTTTTTACTTATCTATTCATATCCAAATAGCAGCAGGGTGATGCAACAGACACTAAACCATTTGTCAGATTTTAAAGTGAGTACAGGAATACAAACACCTCGACTATCACTTTCACATTGGGTGCACTGGTTTTGCACTGATTGTAAAAACAAAAGAGCACTTTATTATTAATGTTTACTTTTGTTTCACTTTTTTTAATTTCTGATTATGGGGCACTTAAAGTTTTATTTATCTTGACTTTATAGTTATTTTTTTACCATGAACGTCTCCCACCATGTCTGCATGCACCCTAGCCCAAGAAGTAGGATGCAGACATGAGATTTTAAATGTTGGAATAGTTATGTTTTAACCTTAAAAACTAAAATGTTCATCAATGCGAAAGTTAACTTTGAGGAAATGTAAATATGTAAATGTGTGTAAGCGCTTCAGTATTTTTAGAAACATGGTAAACATATGAAGATGATGTTGCCAAAGCCTTAATGTAATAATAAAGTTATGTGTATAGAAGCTGTTTTGTCCCTACCCATTTTCTTCTTTCTTATTCTCTTATTAAAACCACAAAGAGATGAACAGAAAACATTTTAATATACAACAAGATAATGACAGTACTTCTGACAGCATATCAAAATGGTATTAAAATCATATACAAAAGTGGCATTAATGGAAACATGTTTAAGGTCAGATGGCATAAGAAAAATACTCAATGTAACAAATAAATATTGAAACATTAAAAAACAATAATTTAACAATGTTTTGCAAGGATGTTTGAAATGAAAGCATAATGTAGAGTTAGTGTATTGAGTTTGAACCTAATTGTTCCATTATTTCTCAAGTAGATGATGAAGACATTTGAACTACAGTATGATTGTGTTTATCCAAATCATTTGTTGAAGCAACCTTGTATTTGTCAAATGAATGTATAAAAGTCTTATGAGGATGGTATAGCGCCTCCTATAGGAGGTGTTGACAGCGGAGGCAGGAGGAGAGACTTCAGTTTAACAGACATGGCTGCAATCTCAGGGTCCTGGGTTTCAAACATCTTCACCAATCGGGCAAACTTTAGGACACCTGAAAGTGAAGCAGAGCCAACATAAAGGTGAAACAATGTCATCAAAGGAGTATTTGAGTTTAAAAAGGTCCAATGTAAGGTTTAGTTTATTTGCACACATAGTCTCAAAGTCAACTTTATAGTCAATCTTTCAGCTTGTGTGTACAGACAGAGAGATCCTCTGTTTCCCACAATCCCAAGGAATACACAAATATATGTATACAAATAGGTATATACACAATCAACAGACACATTTGTACATATGCACACATTAAGTAATAAATAAAAGCACAAAGTAAAAGAAGACTGTAAGAATTTAGGCAAAATTCGGAACAAGTAAAGTCCAATATTCAAAGAACTTCAGGGTTTTCTTTATGAAAATGCCGCCTCATGCTCACCCTCTCCTTCGTTGTTGAAGCCGTACGCTTTGATGACCTCCTGTTGGATCTGGGTGGACACGGGGAGAACGAGCTGAAGCATCTTGCCCATGTCGTTGCAGGAACTTTCTCGAGCCTCCTCCATCCTGGCAGCGTTCTCCGGCACTGAGAAGGCCTGGATCACCTCACTCAGCACCACTGTGCAAGAGAAGACATTGGTTTATGCTATAAACATGCATTATGTTGGTCTGTATTACAGTGATGCAAATTAGTCGCTTTCCGGCGCCTCCCGCTTTTTTAACGCTGATTTGGGTGACTTGTGTAATTCTTGGAGAACCGAAGAGTTTTCGTTTTGGGGGGGGTCCGTCTCGACTGACGGACAACTTCTCACTTCAAAAAAGAAGAAATCTAGATCGCAAAATAATTAAACAAGCGAGTGCCTGTTTTTCCTGGCCAAGGACAGGTTCATTGAACACAACACGAGCGTAACGTGTCTTCACCATAGGTTCGTGTTATGTCTCGTCTGAAAGGAGTCTCGTCTGAAAGGAGTAACGGAGAGCATCGGAACGCTGCTCCAGCTCTTCAAATATTGCAGTACCCATAAGGAGCCGTACACATGCCGCAGTGTTTGCGAGGCTGTGTCTTTAGTTGTAAGCACAGTGGCGATCTGTTGTTATTAGCATCTGGTTAGCTAGCTATGCTAACGAATTTAAAGAGCTTTTCTACAACCAGGTGGAAGAGAGCTCTCTCCTCAGAGGCTCAAATAACCTCAGCTCAGTGAGGTTAAGGCACACCTTGATATGATCATTATAGTTATTAATGAGACATTAGAGACTCAATTATTAACAGGTATAAAATACTATATGACAGTAACAAAAAAAAGTTGTTAAAAATAACAAGAATAGAGTTTGAAAGGGGAGTGATTTATAAAATATCCAAAAAGAAAAATCTGTCATTGTCAGATGGTATATTACGCTGTTTTTTTTCTGCTTCGAATACTTCTCTCTTTTTTCACCATACCTGTGTTTGCATCACTGGTATTAAGTGTGGACACTCAAGCTTCCTGTGAGGATGTCAGGTGTAAATCAAAAGTCTGGTGACGATACATTCTAATATCAAAATGTGCAGAAATCCCAAAGTATACAACAATGGGATTTTGATTTTGACGTCACTGGGATAGAGACACTATCATATTTCTATCTTACATGATCAGCCTAAGTCTTGACTTGTAGCATGTATTCACTGATGAATAAACGTTGCACTGCAGCGTTTACAGCTTTAATGCTTGTTATTACCAAACATCAGTTTAACCAGCTGGAAGTCTTTCAGAAATGATGATATAGGGGCATCTAGAAAAGACCATAAGAGCTAGAACATGTCAACTAAACAGATTATAGAAAGTAACACTCACCTCTGGTCTGCTCCACAGTGAGGGTGGGCTGCTGTGCTGGAGCTGAGGCCATGTCTGTAGAGAACAAAACAATGTATGTATGGTTAGGAAAGAAAAAAGGAATTTAACATGGCACTAAAAAAGACAAAGACAAAATGTAATAATCAAGTAAACCACAAAATTAATATACTACTTTTTTGTTAATCATTTCAGCAAGTTTCAAGTAAACCTGACACATATTCACAAGTGTTAGCTTTTCCACTGCAATGATTTGTGCTGCTTTTCTCTGCTGAATTAAATGGTTGTATTCCTATCTATAGTTTTTTTTTTTTTTTTAAAGGCGTTGGTTAATATATCATTTAAAGCCTGGTTTACATAACACTGGGATCCTTAAAAAAACATTGATTTCCAGGCCTGTTGACAGCGTTTTGTGGATACGGTCCATTTGATTTTTTCTGCTGCTGTAAGTAATCAACAGGGTACAATTCCTTCTGGTAGTATTTATACGTAATATCTCTCTAATTGAATAACATAAGTTGTGGTTGGAAATACAAGACTGATGATCCTGGTTTATATTATGTTTGACTATTTAACAGTTGTGTATAAATGCCTGGGTTAGCTAAGTTATAGCTGAGGTTAGCTATTAACATTGCTGTCAGACAGTGTGCTGTAAGGCAGGTTTTGGCCTAATGCTCCTACGCTTAAATGCAAGAAGTAAAACTATGTTAGCCAGTTTTATAGTTATATCATTAATACCAGTTTGGTTTTGATGAAGTTTGGACGGTGGTACATCCACTGTTTACTTTCTATCGATAGCTTTGACTATAACGTAAATTACTTTTGGCTCAACGACGGTTACCAACAGCCTAAAACACATGTAACGTTTTAACAATATTAACCACTGAATTTAAAAGAGCAAAGGTTTAAAAACTCACCACTGATTAAAGAAATGTAGCTAGTAGCAGACCTGGAAAACCTAGCTGGAAAATGATACTTTTTACGACATTTGAAACCTTTGTTACGACAGTACGTCCTTCTTTCAGACAGACCCGGATGTAAAAGGTAAACAAACACCTTAGCTAGTAGCATGATGACATCTCTCCAAAAATGTTGTTAAAGTAGCAGTAAACGTTTATGGTAGTCAACGTTATTGTATTTGACATCGTGTAAAGCTTTATTGAAGCAGCGCTAATACCAATGAAGTTGTGTATTGTTTATTAGCGCCTCTTTTGCCACGTACACCTAATTTGTGTTATAACGTCAGTGTAAAGCAGCTGGCGTCATCGATGGAGCAGAAGCTGGCAGATTTCAGAGCCAGACGACAGGCTGAACATACGATAAAAAAGGATGAAGATACTGTGAAAAAGGGAGAGAGTCCCAGTATGAAGTGCAGAGATCAGACCGAAGAAGACACAGCTCATCTGATTGATTCAACCAGTGACAGCGAACACACAGAGGAGGATGAAAACATCAAAGCCTCAACTCAGATCCCTCCAAAAAAGGTGAGACATTTCTGTGTTAATCTTGCAGTTGGATTTCTGTTCTAACTAAGAATCGGGTGATATGAGGTTAATTAACTGTCTGGTTCAATTCCAGTAGTGGAATGATACTAAGTGCATTTACTCAAGTCAATGGTCTTGTGTTTTACTTGAGTATTTCCAATTTAAGATACTTTTAACTTCAGTACATCTCAGAGGTAAATATTGTACTTTTTATTTCACTACAATTGTATGACATCCTGATTATAATTTTTTTAAGATTACATTTTTTTCATTCTCTTCAAGTAAAGTAAAAATAAATGTATCTCCACATTGGGTGATTATGATTTTGTTGTTGAAGATGTGTTGAACCACATTGATCTTTTTGAACCTGTTCTGTCTTCTCTGCAGGACCACAGTGATTGGCTTCTGGACAGCGCTTTTGGAAGATGGCTGACATCGAGACAACTTGGCTTGACAAACCTTACCTTGCTTAAAATACTCCTGTGGCTGGTGCTGCTCGGCCTGTTTGCTGAGCTGGAGTTTGGCCTGCCTTTCTTCGTCCTCTCGCTCTTCTACTGGCTCTATGAGGGTCTCAGGAGCCCAGCTGCACGCGAGCCTGGAGAGCTGAGCGCTTACTCTGTCTTCAACCCGAACTGTCAGCCTCTGATGGGCACGCTCACTGCAGAGCAGCTGGAGGGGGAGATGGGTTACCGGGCTCTGACTAACAGAGCAGCACTTGTATATTGATGATTTCCAATAATCACAACTTTTTGTCCATTTAAAAATGTCCTTTGTATTCAGGAAAAAAAAATATTGTATGCAGGAATAATGATTCAAACTGACTTTTTCTGTTTAACTTTAAATGAAGATCAGTCTGCTAACAGTTGTATTCCTGTTTCTGTTCTTTGAAGCAGTTTAATTGACTTAATCGTGGGAGGTGGATTTGCTTTAAAATGAATAACAATTGAGTGTACAATTACATTGGTGACATTATTTTTGAAAATATTTTTGAAATCCAATATTTACCTCCGATTCCTCTTCTTATGAATATGGATTTTGTAGAAAATGTGGGAATGGTAATTAGGAGTTGGTATTCTGAGTTACATTGGAAGAGGGCAATCTCCTACTCATGTATTATATGAGAAAAACGTTTGCGTTGAATAAAAGGATTTTAAAGTGTAATAAAGAAGTGTAATATATCAGCCAGTATTGCATCTTGTCTCTCTCTGTCTCTGTGCCTTCTATTTCACAAATTATAAACACCACATTAACTTTTCTACCATTACCTTTTTGCTGTTTATTTTCGAACAAAATAGTTGGATGAAAATTATGTTTTGCGACGGATCATTAATAAAACTAATTATGTGTTACGCGGCCGAAAAGACAACGTCTAAAAAGATGAGAAGAAACGAAGAACAACTTGTTATGCCGAAGCAAGATGTTTCCCTCTCCCATCTAATTCCGCATTTACTGATCGTTTCTGTGTTAACCGAGGGCCAAAAACACTGACACGCTTGGTTTTTAAAGACACATAATAGTTGTTTGTTTTAATTAAGCCACTGTTAACATCCTCTTTGTTCACATTGAACGTATTAGCATGTGTCTCGAAGTCATGAGACGCTATCTTGCTATTTGCCTCTCGGTCGGCCAGGTAACTATCTTGACTATTCGTGTGGCTCTTTGGGTCGATACTGTTGCACTTCCTGTATCTCGGAACTTCAATTTACTGAACCCGTGAAGACTGTTTGGCGGTTTTTCCTCTATTATCATCAGTAAGTATTAAACCTTCAATCACCATCACCACTTTTCTACTGGATATTAATAAACCATTTTGGATAATTGTCGCTGAACCGGCGTGCTAGTATCAACAGCAGTATGTTGGCTAATTAGCCAGGAGTGCAAAATGTACTGTTTATTGTGACTGATTACAATAATCTCTTTAGTTAAGGAGCCGTCCTAATTGCTCTAAGAAATATGTGTATTTTATTCACAGGTGATGAAAATCCAAGCTAATGACACAGTTAATTTTGTGAAGTGGTTTGGTGGTTCCAGTCATTGCCACTTTCTGCTTGTTACACAGACTTCGCTCGCCTCGTCCACTCCTTTGATATACATTGATTTGCCTTATTAGATAAAGTGGCTCCTAGTTAAATGAGGCTTTGTCTTTCTTTGTGGATAAGATATGAGAGTTTGCAGTTCTAGCATCATCCACTATTACAGTCCCTATACTGCTGATCCAACTCAGCCAACAGTGTTGTACTACTTCTCGCCTCTTTACTTTATCAAGACTTTAATGATATGGTAAGCAGTGTGAAACTTCCTCAAGCTCTTTTAGATATGTTTCCCTGCTTTCTCATTTACCTGGGACTGATGCTAGTCTACACTATGTTCTTTGTTATAAATAATTGCCTGAATCTGGCTGTGGTATTGTTTATTTTAAACATTCAACTGTATAGTCTCTTCTGTGTGTATTATGTATCTGCTGTGCCTTCATGTGGTGTGCCTCAGGGTTCTTTATTGGGTCCTATTTTATTTGCTTGTAGGTCATATTATTCACACATGTAAAGGTAGCTCATATCACTGTTTTGCTGACTAATGTGAGGCTTTGAATGCCGAGGGGAAAGAAAAAAGTTCTTCACTATAGTCTGTCTGCAATAAAGGACTGAATGTCCAAAAAACTTCACACAGCTAAATGCACAGTCAATTAGGGATATGTATTACGATATACAATATAATGTTATTTGATCAGACTTTGTACCACAATCAAAACTGGACTTACTACCTATTCACTTACCACTTTCTATGTATTATTCACAGAAGAGGGGGATGTTGACGTTTTAATGCAAATTGCAAGAGGTAAAGATGCATACCTGTAAATGTTTTTTTTAGTATTTGTCCACTAACAACTGTCTGCTCTGTCGATCAGCAATGTCTGCAAGTCCTGCTGTGTTGATGCGGCTCGTGGCCTCTGCCTTCACTGTGGCTGAAAAGGCCGGCGCCATTGTGAGGAAAGTCCTTCACAGCGGAGAACTTGGCATTGTGGAAAAGGTGGGACCAAAAACCGCAGAAAGATTTAAAATGCATGTCCCAGTGAAAACCTTTTTTTAAATACTGACCTGCTGTGGAGATTCTGAGCCAGTTATAATACAGGTAGTATATTATAGTTGTATCCTTTTCTGATTTTCCCACGTGTCCCTGCATAGACTGGAGCCAATGATCTGCAGACACTGGCCGACCGACTGGCACAGCAAAGCATTTGTGCATCACTGTCCAGAAGTTTCCCCAAAATCACCATCATTGGAGAAGAGGTGTGTAAATTAGACTCTTTGTTGAATGTGTTGGTCAAATTAGCACCATGGACCAACAACATTATCTAATCTATAGAAGAAGAGTGAAAGCCTGAGTTCTTGTGTATCACTTGCTGATTAGGACCTTCCACCTGAGGAGATAAAGGAAGATCTCATTGAGAGCGGCCACTCGGAGGAAATCCTTCAGAAGACATGTCCAGCAGAATATAGAGATCTGAAAGAGGAGGAGGTAACGGTCATCAGATTCAGAAAAACATAAATATTCCAGTAATCATAATTGGATTTCAGACAATGCATTCATGTAAGTTTTTCTTCTGCATAACAGCTAGTTGTGTGGGTCGATCCTCTCGATGGCACAAAGGAATATACTGAAGGTAGGCTCTTCAAATATGCTTTTTTAAATAATCTGCCTCCACACATGTGCTTTTGTGTTCTGTTCTGGGGGCGGAGACATTACTGTGAGTTCTGCTTAATGAAACTCCCTGAACAAATACCTTTTAAGTATTCAATTTGAAATGAAGGCAAAGCATAACCTCTTAGTTTTTTAAGTAATTACTCTTACCTTGAAAGCAGTGGTGGAAAGTAACTTAGTATATTTACTCAAGTACTGTACTTAAAGGTGGGGTAGGTAAGTTTGAGAAACCGGCTCGAGATACACTTTTTGTTATATTCCATGGAATGCTCTTAACATCCCGATAGCAATGAATATCTGAAGTGCTTTGACAAAAAATCCATACATAAATATCATCTGTGGAAGCCGTAGTACTGTAAAAAGCACGACCAATAATTTTAGCCGGCCCGGCTAAAATAACTGGATGGCCTACCTGCCTGTCAGCCTTCCATCTGTGCACAAACTTATCTCGTGCCCTCATTGGTCATGTGTGCGTTCGTGTGAGTTGGAGGAGGGGCTCTGTAAGGAAGTGGCATTTTTTCCAGCTGTGTATTTTCAAATTCTAGCACACTCGAGCTGGTTTCTCCAAAATGACCCACCCCGCCTTTAAGTAGTAGGTTTTGTTACATTTGAAGTGGGTGGCAGCAACATAAACACCATTGTGATATAGTTGCGATATGGGCTGCTTTCTGGCTTTTGGCTCTTGGAGCTTCACTATCACTTTTCTTTGCCTTTCTCTGCCTTTCTCTGCCTTTCTCTGCTGACTCCAGCGTCAAAGAGTCTCCATCACCAAACTGAGGCCCAGATACCAAACAAAGTTTTGGACACCTCTCACAGCACAGCTCTCTGTATGGAAGCTGATTAAACCGTTAACCTTGTCGGTGTATAATGTGAATTACTCTGCAGTAAAACTGATTGATTCAAATGGCTTTCAGGACTAAAGCTGAGAAAGAAATGGAGAAATAAAAACAAAGTTATTGGATAAATGTGCAGGATATTATGAAAATAAATGAATATGCACAGACATTAAAAGATAAATACAATATATATATTTATTTGTCTAATTGCTTATTTTTGTATGAACTAATTTTAACATTGCTTTTTTTTTGTTAACATTTATTTCATTTTTTCAATTTGTTTCCCTCTTTAATTTTATATTTAAAAATGAGATGGCAACCCTAAATGTTGTCCCTTAACTGTCACCTACCAATTGATGTATTTTCAATTAAATCTGGATTTGTTTCCACATTTCCACAATTATACCCTTATCATTTTCTGTCTTCATTTCTTTCTTTCTTTCTTCATTATAATCCCAGCTTCAATCCTCCAAATGTATCTGACATCCTGCTGTTTTCTGATTGAAGGTCTGCTGGATAATGTGACGGTGCTCATTGGTATTGCATACGAAGGCAGAGCGATTGCAGGTGTCATCAACCAGCCTTTCTACAACTACCAGGTACAGAGCGATCTAAATTAAACAAGATGAAGTCCCAACAGCTCTCCTTCCTTTAATCCAAATGTTTCCCCTCGTCAGCTCGGAGAAGGAGCATCTTTAGGAAGAACCATGTGGGGAATCCCGGGGTTGGGCGCTTTCGGATTTCAGCTGCAGGAAGTTCCCGGTGACAGACGCATCGTTACCACGACACGTTCCCATAGCAACAAGCAGGTGACGGACTGTGTGGACGCCATGGAGCCTCACGAGGTTATAAGAGTGGGCGGTGCTGGGAACAAGGTGAGGACGAGTGAGGTTATCACATGTAAACTAGGATTATACAGTTCTCTTTAGGCACGACTTGTACATTAATTAATTTTGACTATATTTCAGTAACGTTTTAAATGAAAAACATCTCTACGGCTTTGTTTTATGTCATAAAAAGTGTTGTTTTTATGACATCAATCGGATCAGCAAGGCTTCTTCCTCTAAATCTCTCTTATAAAGGAATATTATATTATTAGCTTTTTTCTTACTTTTATTTATTGTTTTTAAGTTAATGATGTCTGTATCAATTCTACTTTTATTTATGTACATGTACCTTTTTATTTGTTGTCTTAATATTCCGGTTATACATCTGTGGTTATAAATCTTGATGGTTTACATTTTAGTGAATAAAAAAAACCGTAATGATCATTAATATGCTGTCGAACGTCAGACTAACACAAAGCAAAGTTTTTTTAATGATTGAACAATTTTTTATCCTGAGTTAATGAAACATTCATTGTTTTATTTGCCTTCTTATCGACCAAGAACTTGCTGTACCTAATTGACCCTGGTCCTGTGCCTGCAAATGTTTCAATTATATCCATGCTAGATGATTACGTTTTGAGTTCAACTCCATATATTTGGGAGTCAGAGAACCTGGAGTCTTATGATTGCTACAGCAATACCAGGACATATTCAAAAATAGCCTTTTCTGATGTGTATAGAGTGTGTATTTATTACATAATCTCTCTGCAGATAATCCAGCTTGTTGAAGGAAAGGCTTCTGCGTATGTCTTCGCCAGCCCCGGCTGCAAGAAGTGGGACACCTGCGCTCCAGAAGCTCTACTGCTTGCTGTGGGAGGTATGACCAATTTGCTGAAATCTGTCTGCCCACTATAAAGAAAAGTGTTTACACCAAACTAGCATTATATTTTGTAGCTATGCAGGTTCAAATGTAAGCTTTTTACAAAATGCATAGCTTACTAGTGCTTGAACTCTGTCTGAAATGTTTGTATTTCTAATGTTTTCCTTTTCATCTTGTGCAGGGAAACTGACTGACATGCACGGCAATGCATACTGCTACAATGCTAACGTAAAGCACATGAATTCTGCTGGCGTTCTTGCTACACTACGCAACCACGAGTACTACGTCAGCAGAGTGCCGCAGTCGGTGCTGCAGGCCCTGAAGTCAGATTAAGTTCTGTCTTCATCAGAAGTCACACTAATGAACCTCTGTCATGTTTTAAAGCACTTACAAATCTAACCACAAGTGCAGGAACCCTCTGTATTTAGATGAGAACAAATGAAATGATGATTTCAAAGTCACATTAATCCATGTTTTTGTGTCATACATTATTAAATGAACCAGACAGCAAGCAGGCTCAACAGCACTTCCATTTATTTCATCGCTTCAAACAAACTTTAAAAATCTCAGAACGTCTTTACACACTGTTTCCAACTTGAAGACCAAGAGATTAACAAGGCAAAAGGCAAAGATTTAATAAATAAAAATACATCGGTTAAATGCTTATTAAGGAGTTAAAAAGGATTAACTTCATTCAATAACCACGTGGGAACACTGTGATATAACTAGCCAACAACAAACAAAATGCCATCGTCCTGCCTTGATGATTTTGACCTCTTTACAATGTCATGCGATGACTGGAAGCGCAACAATGTTCAGAGAGAGAGGTCGAGATCTACTGCTGTGATGATGAATATACTCAGAACTTACTTTTAATCCCGTACTGTCGGTTTTCTGCCGCGGTCTTCATATCCGTCTCTATTTTTCTACACACCTACTGTACAAACCAGACTGAAGGACACAAACTCAAAGTGCTTACCGATGTTTGTTTCCCACATTAAATTGACATCTGAACTTAAAACAAAACTCGAACACTATTGCATTTCTGTGTTTCCCCTTTTGTTAAAACCAAGTGGTGTTAGGGATAGCAAACAGTTTCAGAGCTTGGAAACGCTGATCTAATGTAGAGCAGCTGTACAGGAATGCTAGTTAAAGTACAGCATTTAGCAGCCGTGTCCTTTTCTAAAGTTCAAATAGGCTTTAATGACCTGTGCACGTGTTTATGTTTTGCATATGACAATATTTCTTGCACCATCAACATATTGACTGATATCTCTTTGGGGAAAACATTCGAAAGTCGAAGGGAAAGTCATTGCAATGTCTAATTTGCTGTTCTTAAAGAATAATGTGACATTTTGGGGAATGTGGTTACTGGCTTTCTTGCTCAGACTTAATAAGAAGATGGATACTTTATTTCCGTTCAATTAATATGAAGCTTCAACCAGCAGCTTGCTAGCTTAGCTTAGCATAAAAAATGTAAACAGATAGTCTAGCTCTGTCTCAATGTTACAAAATAAACTAGAACTTCTGAAGCTCACTGATTCATACGTTGCATCTTGTTAGTTTACCCCAAACAAAAAACAAAAGTGTTAATTAAAGATTAACACCTGTTTACAGTTTGTGTGCTAAGCTTAGTAAGCTGCTGGTTTGAGATTCATATTTGACAACCTTATCTAACGTTTTGCGAGAAAGCATTTTCCTAAAACGTCAAACTATTCTTTTAAGCTGTGTACTAGTTAAGCTTATATAGGAGTGGGCACTGGCAGTAATTATATGAAAAGTAGACAAATCAAGGTGAGACACGAAACAATTGGCCTCGTTTTTACATTTTACATCGGCTAGGTCAAAGTATCCGTCTCAATCTCACAAGCGTGCATGCATTCACAAAGTCACTATGGAAATTGTTAATGTGACGGCAGAGAAACATATTTCTTAACATCCTGCCCATTCCACAAGGTTTAAATATCGCTGAATGGGGTGAGTAGCAGAAGTGAGCAATACATCAAAAAGAAATGGAAAGAAATACCACTCGCATGTTCATAGAAATACCCACAGAACAAGCAAAAAACACTCCTGGAGTTTTTGTTTACACATGAACAAGCTGACTGAGAGAAGGCTGGAGTGTTTGAGGCAGCCTGCGGGACGAGGGTCAGAGACCAGCCGGGGGGAGGGGCCAGCCGCTCACCTCTTTTTAGGTGCCTGAGCGGTGCGAGGGGGGGTGACAGGGCGTCCTGTATTCACCCCTCCATACTGGTACTTTGCTTTTTTTTCTGACGGCTTCAGGATCTGAAAGAAAGGAAGATGGTAAATTCACTAAAAAGGCATGGTTTGTTCTCTGTGCTCTTTAAAAAGCCACCAGACTCCTTTGACAAAACAATACTGATAGAGGCAGCGTTGGACCAGCAAACCCTGATTGGAAAGTTTTGGTTCCCTGTCTTGAGGCAAGATCACTGAGTTAAAAATATTCAAATGAGTGAATACTCATTGTGCAGCTTCTGTGCTGGTTCTACCTATTGTAAGTCATGCACTGACTATAGATCAGTGTTTCCCCTACCATTGTCTTGGAGGGGCACGGAGCCCCGCCAACGGAGCCCCGCCAACGGAGCCCCGCACCACCCCTGAAATTCAAGGTG